TCAAGTCAGGGATTGTGATGCCCCCTTCCTTGCCTTTGTTGCCCAGACTTGCTTTTGCTATTCTAGGTCTTTTCTGATTCCAAATGAATTTTAGGATGTTTTCTTTAAATTTGTGAGATCTACTATTGGTATTTTGATTGGGATTGTATTAAATCTGTATAACAATTTTTGGAAGTATGCCCATTTTCACTATATTGGTTCTTCCTACTCAAGGACAGGGACATCTTTCTATTTTCTGATGTTCTTTTTGACCTCCTTTTTCAGAGTACTATAGTTTTCAATGTATAGGTCTTTTACTTCCTCTGTTAGATTGATTCCTAAGTATTTCATTTTTCTTGATGGTATTGTGAAAGGTTTTGTTCACCTAATTTCTCTCTCAGTGAGTCTTATTTATGTATAGGAATGCTGTTGATTTTTGAGTGTTGACTTTGGATCCTGCTGTTCTACTGGATTTGGTTCTTAATTTTAGGAATCTTTCAGTGGAGTTTTTGGGGTCTTCTGGGTAGAGTATCATGTCATCTGCAAATAATAATTTAACTTCTTCCTTTCCTATCTGGTGGGTCAGAGTTTACAAGGGAATAGATTTAATACAGCACACATAATTTATAGATTTATTTTATAATATTCACCCAAAAAGGCAAATGCAGAAGAGTGCAATAGATCTATCCATGCACTACAGACCCAAAGAATCCAGCTGCAGGTAGAATAGCTATTCCTGCTTTTTACCAGGTTCCTGTCATGTGGAATATTGTTTTATGTCCTTTGACTTTCAGTCTATGAATTTCTTTTTGAGTTAAATGTGTTTCTTGTATGCAGCATATTGTTGGATATTGCTGCTTGATCCATTCTGCCAGTCTGTTTCTTTTGATTGGTGCATTGAGACCATTAACATTGATGGTTATAACTGATACGTATTGACTTACCTTTGTCATGTTATTTTCCTATTGTTGGCTCCGTGTTTTCCTCTCAGTTTAATTGTTTGCCTTGCCTGGTAGATTCCTTTTGTTGGGGTTTGTGAAGTTCTAGTCCTTGTTATCTCTTTCTAGAAAGTCCTTCAGAACATTTTGGAAGGCTAGTTTGGTGGTCATGAATTTCCTCAGGTGTTCTTTGTCATGGAAGTATCTTATTTCATCAATTTTGATTTTTTTCTTCATCAATTTTAATTTTTTTCTTCAATTTT